TTAATGGTTTCCAGGTATTTTGAGGGAGGTGTCTCGTCTGTCTACCTGTGGGATCTAGACCACGGCTTTGCTGGTGTCATTCTAATAAAGAAAGCAGGCGACGGTTCCAAGAAAATTAAAGGGTGCTGGGACTCCATTCATGTGGTAGAAGTACAGGTGGGGGAGGTGTTCTTTTACCTGATAATGTTTTAAACACAGAGACCAGGCCCCTAGCCAGCAATTTCAAACGGGGGGGGTTCGTTTTTTGAAAAAGTGGACCTTTTCCCATAAAAACTTCATGTACCTAGATCAAATTTTACCCAGAGTGGACCTTTTCCCAGCAAAAGGGGCGGTTCTTTCGAACCCCCCCAAACCCCCCCTAGCTACGGGCCTGGAGACGGTTGTTATTTTGGTGTGGTTACCACAATGACGATCAGCATTGAGCTGTAATAATGCTAATAAGTGTCAGGGTGTAGTAATGGCAGTTAATGAAATACTGGTAATGACCAAAGAGATCTGATGAATGACGGCTTTTTCATTCAGCATTTTTCTCTCCAAAAACGTTCACTAGTTTACTGGATCACATGGTTGCATAAAAGTGCACAAGGTTTCACTTGGTACTGTTTAAAAGCTCTTTTGTAAATGTAAGGATGTACTTGTTAAATGCTCAAATATGTCAGAACACGCTTTATTCTGCCGCCATAAAACCACTCTACATAAAACCACTCTCCTTTTACCAGAGAGCATTTGCTATAACTCTGGTTTATCAGTACTTATTTTCGTCTCTCACATATTCCTGGATGATTGCACACTTACAAGCTTACACATGCACACATTAAAAGGGTTATTTATCCATTGTATTCCAGGAGAAGTCTAGCGGTCGTAGTGCACATTACAAGCTTACCTCCACGGCCATGCTATGGCTACAGACCAACAAGGCAGAATCTGGGACCATGAACCTTGGCGGGAGCTTAACGAGACAGGTGGGTAAAACAGGGCGCAGGCCCCATTTCAGAAGGTTTTTTTTTTTTTAAATATATATATATATGGATGGATGGATGGGTGGATGAAATGCATAATATGTATGTTCCTTCCTTTCAATATTTCAGATTGAATCAGATGCTAATGTAAATGAAGCCAGTCCTCACATTGCCAACATTGGAAGGATGGTGGAGGTGAGGGGAAACATACACTTAATTCAGTACTATACAAATGGGTTGGGCTCATAAAATAACTTTTATAGAACAAAAACTGGCCCTATCTGTGATTCATTTGTCAGTTGTAGTCCACATGTTTAATGAAATATTGCACCTGCTTTATAAAATGAAAGAAGCAGTTTATTAACTTGGAAATCTACATGGAAATCTACCTGGCTTTTCTCCCCTAAATTTAAGAAGTTATCAACCCTTCTCTCTTTATGAAATTGTGTAATTTTTTCTTATTTCAGGACATGGAGAATAAAATTAGGAACACATTGAATGAAATTTATTTTGGTAAAACTAGAGATATAGTCAACGGCCTACGATCCCTAGTGCCCCTGGCTGACACGAAAAAACAGCAAGCTGTTCTCACTGACCTTGCAGCTGCTTTACAGAAGAGGCAACAGGCACAGTGATTCTTAGACAGGTGGCGACATCTATCTTACAGTGCTGAGAATTCTGGGACAATTTTCAGTGACAGAGGAAAAAAAGCTGTTCATAGAAATCAGTGGTACCCAGTCCTGGATTTTAATGAGAGACGAGGGGAAGGACAGTTGCTTTAAATGGGAGAAACTTGCCACTGAAGATGTCAATGTTTATTATTATTATTATTACTAGCTTTTGTTATGTATTTTAGTGGCCAAATGCCACAGGTGACCCAAGGAATGATGGATAATGAAGAAGATTGAGGCTCCTTAATTCATCTGAAGAAGAGATGCTTGACTTCTTGAGTTTTGATATGGAAACGAGAGAATTATTTTCTTGTTTCCTATCTAGGGTGGCAAATAGAATGATGGATAAAGATGAAAATTTTATAAATTAAAGCTTTTTTAAAAACTGGAGTTCTTATATGGAAACAAGAGAATTTTTTTCTCGTTTTTTTTTTTTTCAGCTCTAGAATATTACGTATTAATTTTTCCCCTTGAACACTTTATTTTCAACAACAGAGGAAGATATTGGTTAAATTGTCAAGGGATTGGGGGGGGGGGGGGTGATATAAACAATGCAATTTTGAGGTGAAAATGACACATAAAATTGGTTTGCCAATTATTGATCCAGAGCTACAGAATCCCACTCAGTCATTAGAAAAAAAGCATAATTATACAAACTCCTGATAATCTTTTGTAAACTGTCCACTGTTATTTCAAGTTCTCAGAGAGCACTGCAGTAAGAAATATTAACTGAAGGAGCCCCGTGATAAGAACGTGACTTTCTAATACAAATTTTAAGAAATATTCCCAGCAGCACATCTTGATGGCAAGAAAATATTTTTCTTCTTGATGACGTCACGGGAGACTAATTTTCAAAGGTTTTACAAAGGTATTATATCACAGCCCTTTACGTTCATGTAAATCTGTCTGTATGTATTGAAGACAATGTAATTATGAGGTATCCATATGAAATAAAACGGTTAAGAATGATATAATAAAAACCTTATATAAAGAAATGTTTCATTTGCAGACACTGTGTGTGTGAGTATATTTTGATCACTGTGCCATTCCTTTGGCTTTCCAAAACATTCTCTTAACTTCCAAACTGTATTGCTTTCCTTTAAAATGCCTCTGTAGCATTGCTTAGTTTAAAAAGGTACTAAAAAAGGTAGATATTTTCTCATTTTATTTTATGTTAAATTTTTTCTTAGGGGTAGGGGGGGGGGGGCGGTACCTGGTAGGTATTACACCCAATTCGGATTGGGCCTTCGACGAATAGAATTACATGAATCGGATGTAATAAGTCGCCCCCCTCCCCAAATTGCCACAAAACAGATGCTATGCATGAGGATTTGTAAATGGATTAGTCGTTGGCGAAGTCAAGCCTCAGATCCGTGAGCACAAATACCCAAATTAACGACTCGAGCCACGAATAAAGTACTCAAAATTAAAATTAGTAGTAAAAAACAGCGTTTCGGACACGCAAACTGCACTGACGCGTACTGTTCTCGTTTCTTCTAATTTTGCGTTGGGATACTTCACCGTGGCACGAGTCGTTTATTTGAGCATTTGTGCTCCCATGCATGTATAAGTCTGGTACTAGCACACGACAAATATCGTTTATAAGGCCTGTATATTGTCGAAAAAGTGACGCTACATTTGCTAATATCCTGTGGGGAAATAAGCAATTTGTCAAAAGCAATTTTTACAAATAATAATAAGCCCAACGTCGGGAACATTTTTCAGTTATATATATATATATATATATATATATATATATATATATATATATATATATATATCCGATGGGCTAACATTTTACAATGCTATCAAAATTTTCAGTTCAATAGCGAAGTATTTACAGTTTCCTTTTCGTCTCTCAAATCAAAAATATTTCATCAGCTGGGAATTTAAATCTAATTGAAATGGACTGGGATGATACCAATGTCGATGTTTCTATGCCCTATATACCAGTATCATGTAATTTAAATCATCTGCAGTTTTATTTTGGCCTCGCTTCGCTAGACAATTTTCAAAATCATTTACAATTTCCTGGATTAGTTAATCAGGCCCGTAGCTATGGAGGGTTCGGGGGGTTCGAAAGAAAACGAGCCCCCCGTTTGAATTTGCTGGCCTGTTAATGTACAATGAAGTTGCATTATGGATGAAAAATAAACTGTACAAGTACATGTACGTTTTTTTGTTTTTTTTCCTGTACAACAATGAAAACTTCACAGATTTCTGCAGTATATCATTTGTTTGAAACAATCATTCACACGTATGGTGCAAAATGACCATGGCATATACCTGTATTTAAGCTGGAAACGGGATATAACGAACTACTTTGCACTGTCTGGGCAAGAGAAGTTGATTGATCTTGCGGTCCTACTAGAGCATTCACTTATAGAGGGCTTTGATCTTCACAAAAATGAANAACAACTAGATTGCGCCCTGGATTTGATGAGAAGGTTGCCTCCCCAACAGATAGAAAAAAATTTAAGTGATTTAATTGACTTGGTATGTATCTGATCAACTCTGGTGGTTAAAATCTCCCTTAGTATTTGTCTCAGTGTATGCATAACAGTTTATGATGTTTCTCTGTTCACAAAAATTACAAATGCTGCATTCAGACAAAAAAGCTTTGCTCTAGAAGATTAAATATATTGCCAGGATATCTTTCTGGTAATGTATTTAATACTAAAAAAAACTAGAAAAGCACTCCAAGGGCAGACCTCCGCCAAGGCAGCAATTTTTTATTATTATTGATTATTGATTGATTATTGATCCTGATCACCACCTAAAACTAATCATCTGTTCCTTGGCCCACTTCTGACAGTTCCTAAACGTTTCATCAAAATCGGTCCATAACTTTTTGAGTTATGTTGATGACAGACAGAAAAACAGGATGAAAACATAACCTCCTTGGCGGAGGTAAAAATGAATATATATACTTAAGATGTTGCACTGTTTCTTTTCCAGGTTCCAAGTCTATGTGAAGACCTGTTATCTTCAGTAGATCAGCCGCTGAAAATAGCAAGGGATAAAACAGTTGGCAAAGACTACCTTCTGTGTGATTACAACAGAGATGGAGATTCTTATAGGTAGAATAGACAGTCCTTTGTTTAAAACAAGACAGCAAAGCTGGCAAATATACAAACACCAAACAGAAAAAAAAAATATGGCAGTATCAAGAAAAGATAGAAAAATGAAGAAATCAATTTGTGCGAGGTTTAGAATGAATAGTTCTCTGTGTAAATAATAGAAGAGAAGATATTTTACAAATAGTTTCCTGAAAACACCTGACAAAGCAGAGGTTAAATAATGGTAATAATGGTGCTGGTGATTGAAAAAGGTGACTCCTGTATACAGTAGGTGTCATATAAATATTTTTTTGGGGTGTGATGAATCACTTTCCTGTTTATGTAACATTATGTCAGCATTTAAAGACTCCAAAATTAGAAGGGTGACTCATCACAGTGTGATTTAATATCTGTTCTCACCACTGTGTGGTTATGGTCATGAATTAATCACACATATTTGACATTATCATATCTTTGATAATACAGTTTTATTGGTCTTCATGCTATAGGGGAGTGGGTGAGAATAATTGAAAAAAATCAATTTATACGGTGTTATCTTGTTGAAAATGGATTATTATGGTAATCATTAACAAATGAATCTGCTTTGTGTGTGTGTGTGTGTGTGTGTGTTTGTGTGTGTGTGTGTGTGTTCAAATGATGATTATGATACATTCAAAAATCAAATGTCAGAATTAGTCATGTATTTATGTGAATTTCAGGTCACCATGGAGTAATGCTTACGACCCCCCTCTAGAAGATGGTGCTATGCCCTCTGATAGACTAAGGAGACTAGAAGTGGACGCTAATGCTGCTTTTGATCAGTATAGAGAAATGTAAGTACATAATGAGGGGGGGGGGGGCAAATATTAGCACGTTTACCCTAACTACTCTCTTCACATGCCCCCCCTTCTCTTTCCTTCTTTCACCCTCCTCTCTCTCTCTCTCTCTCTCTCTCTCTCTCTCTCTCTCTCTCTCTCTCTCTTTTGGAACAAGTATGATGATCTGTGTGACGATATTGTCTTTTGTATAAATTTGGGTATAGAAGAAGCACATATTATGCATGGTTTGACACTTGGCTCTGCCTCTGTCTCTCTGAAATGTTTTAAAAAATGAGGGATTCAGAGGAGAAGTATGGTTTTCCTCTCTGCAAACCATTCTCAGTTCTTGCTCTTGTATCTTTCTTCTCTCCGAGCCCCTTTGAACACTGTTACTAGTACATGAAAAAAAATGCTGTCCCCCTTGTATTTTGATGAAGTCTTTTATTATCAAACAATTCTTCTTTAAATCTTGTCATTGTTGAAAATTTTATACTTGTTGCTTCTCATGTGACACATCAGATCTGTCTTTTGATAAGTGATGTCTTTTGAATTTAATGGTTTCCAGGTATTTTGAGGGAGGTGTCTCGTCTGTTTACCTGTGGGATCTAGACCACGGCTTTGCTGGTGTCATTCTAATAAAGAAAGCAGGCGACGGTTCCAAGAAAATTAAAGGGTGCTGGGACTCCATTCATGTGGTAGAAGTACAGGTGGGGGAGGTGTTCTTTTACCTGATAATATTTTAAACACAGAGACAGTTGTTATTTTGGTGTGTTTACCACAATGACAATCAGCATTGAGCTGTAATAATGCTAATAAGTGTCAGGGTGTAGTAATGGCATTTGATATTAAGCTCTGGTAATGACAAAATTGATCTGATGAATGGCAGCTTTTTCATTCAGCAGTTTTCTCTCCAAAAATGTTCACTAGCTTATTGGATTGCATGGTTGCATAAAAGTGCACAAGTTTTCACTTGGTACTGTTTAAAAACTCTTTTGTAAATGTAAGGATGTACTTGTTAAATGCTCAAATATGTCAGAACACGCTTTATTCTGCCGCCATAAAACCACTCTACATAAATTCACTCTCCTTTTACCAGAGAGCATTTGCTAACTCTGGTTTAACAGTACTTATTTTCGTCTCTCACATATTCCTGGATGCTTGCACACTTACAAGCTTACACATGCACACATTAAAAGGGTTATTTATCCATTGTATTCCAGGAGAAGTCTAGCGGTCGTAGTGCACATTACAAGCTTACCTCCACGGCCATGCTATGGCTACAGACCAACAAGGCAGAATCTGGGACCATGAACCTTGGCGGGAGCTTAACGAGACAGGTGGGTAAAGCAGGGCACAGGCCCCATTTCAGAATTTTTTTTTTTTAAATATACATATGTATGTATGGATGTATTGAATGCATGATATGTATGTTCCTTCTTTTCAATATTTCAGATTGAATCAGATGCTAATGTAAATGAAGCCAGTCCTCACATTGCCAACATTGGAAGGATGGTGGAGGTGAGGTGAAAGATAATTCAGTACTGTACAAATGGGATTGGCCTCATAAAATAATTTTCATAGAACTAAACCTGGCCATAACTTTAATACATTTGTCAGTTGTAGTCCACATGTTAATGAAATATTGCACCTGCTTTATAAAATGAAAGAAGCAGTTTATTAACTTGGAAATCTACATGGAAATCTACCTGGCTTTTCTCCCCTAAATTTAAGAAGTTATCTACCCTTCGCTCTTGTGATATGTGTAATATTTTCTTATTTCAGGACATGGAGAATAAAATTAGGAACACATTGAATGAAATTTATTTTGGTAAAACTAGAGATATAGTCAACGGCCTACGATCCCTAGTGCCCCTAGCTGACACGAAAAAACAGCAAGCTGTTCTCACCGACCTTGCAGCTGCTTTACAGAAGAGGCAACAGGCGCAGTGATTCTTAGACAGGTGGTGACATCTATCTTACAGTGCTGAGAATTCTGGGACAATTTTCAGTGACAGAGGAAAAAAGCTGTTCATAGAAATCAGTGGTACCCAGTCCTGGATTTTAACGAGAGACGAGGGGACTGTTGCTTTAAATGGGAGAAACTTGCCACTGAAGATGTCAGTGTTTATTATTATTATTAATATTACTAGCTTTTGTTATGTGTTTTAGTGGCCAAATGCCACAGTTGACCCAAGGAATAATGGATAATGAAGAAGACTGAAGCTCCTTAATTCATCTGAAGAAGAGATGCTTGACTTCTTGAGTTTTGATATGGAAACGAGAGAATTATTTTCTTGTTTCCTACCCAGGGTGGCAAAATAGAATGATAGATAAAGATGAAAATTTTATAAATTAAAGCTTTTTTTTTAAACTGGAGTTCTTATATGGAAACAAGAGAATTTTTTTCTCGTTTTTTTTTTTTTTTCAGCTCTAGAATATTACGTATTAATTTTTCCCCTTAAACACTTTATTTTCAACAACAGAGGAAGATATTGGTTAAATTGTCAAGGGATTTGGGGGGGGGGGGTGATATAAACAATGCAATTTTGAGGTGAAAATGACACATAAAATTGGTTTGCCAATTATTGATCCAGAGCTACAGAATCCCACTTAGTCATTAGAAAAAAAGCATAATTATACAAACTCCTGATAATCTTTTGTAAACTGTCCGATGTTATATCAAGTTCTCACATAGCACTGCAGTAAGAAATATTAACTGAAGGAGCCCCGTGATAAAAACGTGACTTTCTAATACAAATTTTAAGAAATATTCACAGCAGTACATCTTGATGGCAAGAAAATATTTTTCTTCTTGATGACGTCACGGGAGACTTAATTTTCAAAGGTTTTACAAAGGTATTATATCACAGCCCTTTACGTTCATGTAAATTTGTCTGTATGTATTGAAGACAATGTAATTATGAGGTATTCATATGAAATGAAGCGGTTAAGAATGATATAATAAAAACCTTATATAATGAAATGTTTCATTTACAGACAGTGTCTGTGTATATGTTCAGATCACTGTGTCATTGCCAGGCTTTCCAAAACATTCTCTTAACTTCCAAACCATATTGCTTTCCTTTAAATTGCCTCTGTAGCGTTGTATAGTTTAAAAAGGTACCTTTATTATTTTATTTTCTCATTTGACTTTATTTTTTATTTTAAAAAATTACTGGGGGGGGGGGGGGCAGTTGGTATTACACCCAATTCGGAATGTGCCTTGGCGGAATAGAATTAAAAGAAATGTCGGATGTCATAACCCGAGCTCCCCTCCTCCAAAAAATAATTGTCATAAAACAGATGCTATACATGGGGCTTTATAAATGGATTAGGCGTTGGCGAAATCAAGCCTCACGTTTGTGAGCACACATGCCCAAATTAACGACTCCAGCCGCGAATAGTACTCGAAATTAAAATTAGTAGTCAAAAACACAGCGTTTTGACACACGAACAGTACTGACGTGCACTGTATGCGTCTTCTAATTTTACATTGGGATCCTTTATCGTGGCACGAGTCATTAATTTGAGCAAGAAGTTACTTCTTGATTTGAGCATTTGTGCTCCCATGCATGTATAAGGCTCGTAGTAGCATACGACAAATATCGTTTATATGGCCTGTATATTGTTGAAAAAGTGACGATGCATTTGCTAATATCCTGTGGGGAAATAAGCAATTTGTTAAAAGCAATTTTTACAAATAATAATAAGCCCAACGTCGGGAACATTTCTCAGTAATATTTAACTGCCGGAACGAGTAACCAGTAGAACGTAGGGTGGGGTTTTGAACGATGAATTTTACTGGATGATAATGGGGGAGGAGGGGGGGATGGAAAAAATCTTAACCCATCATTAAGTACACATATGTATCCTATATGCTAACATTTTATAATGATATCAAAGTTTCAGTAAAATAGCGAAGTATTTTCAGTTTCCTTTTCGTCTCTCAAATCAAAAATATTTCAGCAGCTGGGAATTTAAATCTAATTGAAATGGACTGGGATGATACTTCGCTAGACAATTTTCAAAATCATTTATAATTTCCTGGATAATTAGTTAATCAGGCCCGTAGCCATGGAGGGTTCGGGGGGTTCGAAAGAACCGCCTCTTTTTGTCAGGAAAAGGTCCATTTTGGGTAAAATTATATCTAGGTACACATAAGTTTCATTGTAAAAGGTCCACTTTTTCAGAAAAAGAACCCCCCGTTTGAATTTGCTGGCCTGTTAATGTACAATGAAGTTGCATTATGGATGAAAAAAAAACTGTACACGTACATATACGTTTTTTGCTATTTTTTCCTGTACAGCAATGAAGACTTCACAGTTTTCTGCAGTATATCATTTGTTTGAAACAATCATTCACACGTATGATGCAAAATGACAATGGCATATACCTGTATTTAAGCTGGAAACGGGATATAACAAACTACTTTGACTACTGGGAAAGAGAAGTTGATTGATCTTGCAGTCGTACTAGAGTACTCATTTACAGAGGGCTTTGATCTTCACAAAAATAAACGTGGAAATTTCATGTACGGTATGAATTATTTATAAAAATTAGAACTAAACACTATCCTTGTCCCGTCAGCAAATAACAACATATAACGATAATCTACAGTGCGTTAAATATGATAGCCTATAATTCAATTTACTGGCATTACTTTGAAGTAAGCTGTGACCTTTAATTGGGAGTTTTAATATGAAAACACATCCCTGCAGTGAATGCAGGTTTGTATGATGTTCGTCCGACCTTGTTCCGCTTTCCTTCTAGGTTGCAACCACATCCGTGTCAAGTTTCTCTCTCTACAGAGGCACGTACTATGTTCAANGGGGGGGGGGGGGGCAGTTGGTATTACACCCAATTCGGAATGTGCCTTGGCGGAATAGAATTAAAAGAAATGTCGGATGTCATAACCCGAGCTCCCCTCCTCCAAAAAATAATTGTCATAAAACAGATGCTATACATGGGGCTTTATAAATGGATTAGGCGTTGGCGAAATCAAGCCTCACGTTTGTGAGCACACATGCCCAAATTAACGACTCCAGCCGCGAATAGTACTCGAAATTAAAATTAGTAGTCAAAAACACAGCGTTTTGACACACGAACAGTACTGACGTGCACTGTATGCGTCTTCTAATTTTACATTGGGATCCTTTATCGTGGCACGAGTCATTAATTTGAGCAAGAAGTTACTTCTTGATTTGAGCATTTGTGCTCCCATGCATGTATAAGGCTCGTAGTAGCATACGACAAATATCGTTTATATGGCCTGTATATTGTTGAAAAAGTGACGATGCATTTGCTAATATCCTGTGGGGAAATAAGCAATTTGTTAAAAGCAATTTTTACAAATAATAATAAGCCCAACGTCGGGAACATTTCTCAGTAATATTTAACTGCCGGAACGAGTAACCAGTAGAACGTAGGGTGGGGTTTTGAACGATGAATTTTACTGGATGATAATGGGGGAGGAGGGGGGGATGGAAAAAATCTTAACCCATCATTAAGTACACATATGTATCCTATATGCTAACATTTTATAATGATATCAAAGTTTCAGTAAAATAGCGAAGTATTTTCAGTTTCCTTTTCGTCTCTCAAATCAAAAATATTTCAGCAGCTGGGAATTTAAATCTAATTGAAATGGACTGGGATGATACTTCGCTAGACAATTTTCAAAATCATTTATAATTTCCTGGATAATTAGTTAATCAGGCCCGTAGCCATGGAGGGTTCGGGGGGTTCGAAAGAACCGCCTCTTTTTGTCAGGAAAAGGTCCATTTTGGGTAAAATTATATCTAGGTACACATAAGTTTCATTGTAAAAGGTCCACTTTTTCAGAAAAAGAACCCCCCGTTTGAATTTGCTGGCCTGTTAATGTACAATGAAGTTGCATTATGGATGAAAAAAAAACTGTACACGTACATATACGTTTTTTGCTATTTTTTCCTGTACAGCAATGAAGACTTCACAGTTTTCTGCAGTATATCATTTGTTTGAAACAATCATTCACACGTATGATGCAAAATGACAATGGCATATACCTGTATTTAAGCTGGAAACGGGATATAACAAACTACTTTGACTACTGGGAAAGAGAAGTTGATTGATCTTGCAGTCGTACTAGAGTACTCATTTACAGAGGGCTTTGATCTTCACAAAAATAAACGTGGAAATTTCATGTACGGTATGAATTATTTATAAAAATTAGAACTAAACACTATCCTTGTCCCGTCAGCAAATAACAACATATAACGATAATCTACAGTGCGTTAAATATGATAGCCTATAATTCAATTTACTGGCATTACTTTGAAGTAAGCTGTGACCTTTAATTGAGAGTTTTAATATGAAAACACATCCCTGCAGTGAATGCAGGTTTGTATGATGTTCGTCCGACCTTGTTCCGCTTTCCTTCTAGGTTGCAACCACATCCGTGTCAAGTTTCTCTCTCTACAGAGGCACGTACTATGTTCAATGTTACAGGTTTTTTGGCATCAGTAATTGGGGTAGACAAAACACACGCACGCGCACACTCATGGATTAGAGTTTTCGTTGAGGACTAATAGAAAACCATTCTTTTCACACAATGTTAGGACATACATAGTCAGTTGGAGATGGTCAAGCGATGGACAGATGGACAATAAACGGATACTTTTACTGCCACATCCTCCTGGCATTTGCTATACTCTGCGACCAACCAGTATGTGGCATTAGATTTGTTGTACCACGACGCGGGTCTACCTATCCAAATGAGGCAACTTTGACTGAAAAGATCGAGGTGCCAGATTATAAGTGGGCTAGCGTTCGCTTCACTAAATTTGACCTAGAACTTTCAGGAGGATGCGACAAAGACTACGTGGTGATTATTTCTCGTCAAAAGCACAGACACCTTGATTCTGACATGCCGTATTATCGGAGTATAGATAAAGATATATACACGCTTTGGGGGGCAGTGTGTGGCTCACACACATTTTCCAAACCCAGTATTCTAAATGTTGAACTGTACTTTAACAGTTCCGTTGAGGTTATATTTAGTAGCGATCTTGATGGCCGTGCCACAGGGTTGAAGGCTGATATAGATGTGGTGGAGGATTTTGAAGGTCGCCACGTGCCGTGCACGCACGTGGTCACATCACCGTATGAAGGCTGGGTCAGAATAAATCGCGGTTATTTGACAGCAGGGTGTAAGTTTTATTTGACCGCTCCTGCTGATCACATCTTGCAAATAACACTTGAAAAAAACTTTAATGTCCTTTGCGGGACGTTTACTTTTTATGACGTGACAGAATACAATGAGGTAAAATTGCATACCCATAACATGAATAGTTCTAATCAATTTTCATCCCTTCATGGAAATTATGACCAAATGAGCATTGAATGGATACCGTGTGACGGCGCACAGCAATACGACGTACGTGCTAAGTACAAAGCTGTTTCCCGTAAAATGGTGGAACCATTTTCATGCCAACCAGGATACAGCCTTTTTGAGGGGAACTGTTACCTGTTTAGGCGTTATAGTGGATCAATCACGTGGTCCAAAGCTGAGACCGAGTGTGACAGAGATTCAGGACATCTTGTTAGCATACAAACACGGCGTGAAGCTCGCTTTCTGGGTAGAATTCTGAATAGCGTTGAAAAGGTATATTTAGTAGGTTCATGTTCTTCTTTCTACTATAACAGCGCAATCTACATAGGACTAAAATCTACAGACCAGGTAGGTTTTTTTTCTTCAGAATTTTAACTTTTGAACACCAATGATTTGAATTGCAAATCATGTGTATAAATATTGCAAGATAATCACAGTTCTAGCTTCTAACAATTTTCAATTATGAGATATATATACAAACAGGTCATCGTAAGGGTTCGTCATTTTCAATGGAATAAGTTGTGAAGTTTACAGACACTGTATTTTTAAACTCAAATTCTCAGAATTAGAACATTCCTATTAACTGGTTGCAACAAAACTGAAAAGCAGACTACATATAATAGTTCCTTTCTATACAGTATAAGCTACACAGAAATACACTTTTAATGATTCCAAAATCATGTTACTGGAAAATTGATCAATTTTTCCACACTGAAAAGATCGAATCATTAACGTACATATATATATCGTGTGTTTGTTTGAGTGTGGTCCTTCCATGTGACGGTTGCATGCCATACCTCCTCTCTACACTTCCCAATGAATCAGATGATTTCATCTTACAGCATTACAACTGGACGGATGGGGGAGCTTTTGTATACAGTGAATGGTACGGCCCAAAAATTTATGGATTCAATTCGTGTAAGATGCCAAGTTTACTGAAAACAATTGTTACGGAAGAAGTTCTGCAGCCGGTCCGAGGGGACGAACGCGACTGTGGTATTATGATGGGATTTCTACCGCCTCCACACGGGAAAACACGCTGGGGGAACTGGGCCAAAGTCCCGTGTCACCAACCAATCTGCTGTATGACTGCCATCTGTAAAAAGCCCGCAGCCTTGGCGTCAAAAAAGAATTCAACTACACCCGCTTCCAAATCATTGCTGGTGGATTCCCCAGCGTCCCAGTGGTATACGCACCATGAAACCTACTGTCCAGAGGATTGGGTGTATATAGCGGGACGCTGTGTGCTTCTGTACGCCCTTGCCAAAATTGAAGCCGTAGAACAAGTTGGATACAAAACGACGTATGTGTCTCATTATCACCCACAATATTGGTCCTTACCGCCAGGCACCAACCTCACCTATAGCGCAGCTGTGGAGGCATGCAGGTCCCTGGGTGGAGATTTAGCCCCCTTTAACAGCACTTTTCACAAGGACCGAGATATTCTTCAGTACATTAGTATTTGGGGCAAGGAACTCACTTGGATATCCCCAAGAAGTTTCGATAAAAATTTATCAAGACCACTCTCAAATATCTTAGCTGTGTGGGTGAAGTTCCCAGAAAACATATGCAGAAGGCTTATATATGACAACCATCAGTTCATAGATGACATGGGAGGACTATGCCAACACGTTGACCACCGTGAGTCGCTCTTGGCTCTTTGTGAGATAGCCTCGAAACGCAACATTTTCAACTGTTCACAACACCAGTTTGGATGTGAAGATGGCAGCTGTATATCTAGTGTTAATGTGTGTGATGGGACCTCAGACTGCGCTGAAGGAGAAGATGAGAAGAATTGTACGTGTGGACAACACACTTTTAGTTGTTCCGATGGCACATGCATCCCAATTAGTAAAGTATGTAATCATGTCAACGACTGTCCTAATGGAACCGATGATGAGAATTTTTGTATTTATCCGCCGTGTAAAACAGGGCAGTACAGATGCCAGAATGGGGAATGTATCGACGAGAAAGACAAGTGCAACTTTTTTAAAGACTGCTTAGACGGATCCGACGAAATTCCCCAAATTTTGTGCCCCTGTGAAAAGTGTTACTCTGGCAAATGTTTAGCTCCTCAAAATGTGGACGATCGCTATCCAGATTGCTTTGGTGTGACACAAGAGGATGAGTCACTTTCAATGATTCCAGTTATTAAGCGCATGTCCTTAAATTGCCAAGCTGGTGCTTGGTCACTCCCTGTATCTCTGCCTTATTGCTCAAAGACTAATGAAATGAGATGCACGCATGAACATGTTCGTTGTATTGATCGACAACTGGCTTGCGTTCACGACAAAATCAAGCACGAACGATTTCAAACATGCAGAGGATTTGAACATTTACAAAACTGCGCTAGTTTTCAGTGTCCACACATGTACAAGTGTCCTAGCTCGTATTGTGTCCCACTTCGACAGGTGTGCGACGGGGAGAAGGACTGTCCACGAGGAGAGGACGAGACTGGATGTGCTAATTACACATGTCCCGGTGGTTTCAGGTGTAAAGGAGAACGGCAATGTCTGCACCAGAGCGAGGTATGCAATGGTGTGGTCAACTGCAAATTTTCTGATGATGACGAAAGGTTCTGTGACATAAAGACATGCCCCATGAACTGTGTTTGTAGTGGGTATTACGTAGACTGCACGGGAGGAAATGCAACCAAGGTACCGAATATATCGCCATTCACCAGAGTCCTTGCTTTTGGGGACAACAAACTTCATTTAACAAACGAAACGTTTGCGAGTCATCATTTTCTTGTGAAACTTAATATCAGTTCAAACGAAATCGATATCATTCCTATCATGGCATTCATTAATTTAAATAACCTGTTAGAGTTGGACCTACGGGGTAACAAATTGTCTTCTTTGCAAGCAAATGCCTTGAAAGGTTTGTTTAATTTGAAAACCTTGTTGCTAAGTGGAAACCCATTATCTAGAATTTTCCCCGGCACATTTGATGGTGTTTCAGCCCTATGTGCTTTGGATCTTAGTAGGCTTCATATTAAGACCATTCATGCACATACATTTAAAGGCTTAGACTCGTTAAAAAATCTGAATATAAGTTTCAACAAAATATCCACGATAAAGGATGGTGCTTTTCAGGGTTTGCCCAAATTGGATAAAGTTGATATGTCTGGGAATGAGGGCATGTTTGTCGAAATGGAAGTTTTCGTAAATTTTTCAGCTAAAATATTAATAACAGACAGGTTTGGAATCTGTTGTCTCACTGTTGGGAAAGTAGACGAATGTTTACCTAAACCTGACGAATTTTCGTCATGCTCCGATCTGCTTTACGACAAGTTCTTACAAGTCTCTGTCTGGGTTATGGGTATTCTTAGTTTGGTTGGGAACCTTTTTGTTTTTGTGAACAGACTACGTGAATACAAAATTACCCCTCCAATATTTTTCATAGTTAACCTCTCAGTTTCAGATTTTCTAATGGGTGTATATTTGATCATAATCGCCACGGTTGACACCCTCTACCGTGGGGAGTATTTTGTTCATGCCGAGGTCTGGACAGATAGTATGTTATGCAAGACTGCGGGGTTCCTTACAATGCTTTCAACATTGATGTCTATGCTGATATTAGTTCTGATTACAACAGACAGAATGATAGCCATTGTGTTCTGTATGTCGTTTCGAAAAATTGGAATGAAAAGAGCGTCCGTTTTAGTGACAGTTGGTTGGGTCTTTTGCTTTATCGCAAGTATCATTCCTTGTTTCGAAAATGGATATTTTGAGAAATTCTATGGTCATAATTCCGTATGTATACCCTTTACTATAAGCAGAGTATACTTTGGTGGTCGTGAGTACACCTACGCCATGTTTTTATTTACCACTCTTTTCGCTTTTGTCTACGTGGCAGGGGCATACATATGCATAATAAAAACCGCCTTTGAGACTCAACAGCAGTCTGGACGTGAGGGTTTTGATGAAGTTACTTTTTTGAAAAAAGTGTCCATTATTTTACTAACAGATTTTGTATGCTGGGGGCCGGTGGTATTGTTAGGGTTTCTAAGTATGGCCAACGTGCCAATTGCACCGCAAGTGTCAAGCTGGGTAGCCGTGTTCGTGATGCCGTTCAACTCCGCTATCAACCCCTATTTGTACACACTTGCCAACGTTAAGTTATGTGGTAAGAAAGAAGAATCAACGGCACGCGACACTCCTGTAGCCAGACATAACAAACAAAAACAAGTATCTGCAGACAAAGAAACAGAGGCGTGACCATCTTTACTCCCGCGCTTTGTTGGTTTGTTGCGGAGGAACGCTTAAATTGTTACGTTTCTGGTCAGGGAAAATTGACGGTTTGGGGGATTAAGAGCAGAATCAACTTTTTAGATCCCTTTAGACACAGGCAGATTCAACTAACATGATAGTTTATTTGGTTTACGTTTAGAATCCAACATGGATTAGTTTGTCAGTTGCAGAACAACATGACACATGATCTATGAATTTGAAACTTATGAACTGTATATAGTTTGATTCAGGAAATATGTGTAAAATCATGCATGTGAAATACTTTATTAGATTAAAAAAAATATAATCTGCTATTTGGATTTGTATAATTATTCAGTTTTGCCTAGGTCCTGTATTTTCATCACGGCAACATTAACATGTATAAAATGGTAATGTGCATTACATGTTGTATGGGGCTGTATGTAAAGTTCAATGTGCATTACATGTTGTATGGAACTGTATGTAAAGTTCAATGACAATGTGCATTATATGTTGTATGGAACTGTATGTAAAGTTCAATGTGCATTACATGTTGTATGGGGTTGTATGTAAAATTCAATGTGCATTGCATGTTGTATGGAACAGTATGTAAAGTTAAGTGCCTTATTGCAAGCCTACATACAAGTATATCATGGTAAGAGACTATACTTCTGATGAAATGAGACTACATATGAGTAAAACTAGGGTAGGGTAAATCTAAAAAAAAATCCATAACAGGTGTTTTTTGAGGCGAAATTTGATGCTAAACACAAATCTGACAATCATTTTTTTATAAAACAATTATTAAGGTCGGTAAAATGACAATTTTCAAAATGGCAGCCAAAACGGCCTACCCAAAACTTCATTAACAACAATTAAAGGTATTATGGTGTGTCATATGTCTTTTCTTATGTTTTTGGGGTTGTAGAATCTATTTCTGATGTTAAAACTGAGATTGATACATTTTACAGTGAGTTAGTTTAGTTACAATGTCAGCTGACTGTTAACTGTCAAGCTAGAGTGAAGAGCCAGAATCTTCGATAATGGGGGAAATGAACAACCTCAGTCATCTTGATCAATCAAAATGAGGAGTGATATGATTTCCCAACATCTGTTGGAAGGGAATTATAATGGAGAATCAACCTTACCATAAAGTAAATATTTTTTTAAATTATTACAATAGGATGGATGATACACTTTTACATGATTTACATGTATAAAGCCGTAAGACATCCCTATCATAAGCTGAGGCTAGCAAAGCAGTTGCCAGAGAAATCTCCAATGCCTGAATCCCCAAAAAGTATTTTTACAATCTTTGAGAAGTACATTCCCAACAGAAGTATGTTGGATTATGCTATATTTGGGGAACGTATTAAGCATTAAACTGCCTGTGAAGTGCAAGGATGATATACAAAAGTGAAAGATTTCAATCAAAACGTGACAAATAGTGTTTAAGATTCATCATGCATAAGCACAATGCTTTTTATATGTAGCCTCAATATACAGTTATTCTGTTGTAAATGTTCTTAAAGAGAGGAAAGATATTCTTGGACATCCAGACATTGGATATTTCTCAGGCAACTTCTTTGCTGGTCTCAGTACAGGATAGTGATTATTTCTCCGACTTTTTAAGAGCAGAACAAAAATATTCTATCCATTTCTTTTTAATAATTTAATGACATTCCCCCATTGGTTGCTTGGGGTCAGGATAACTCTGATTCTTCCTCATAATTCACATCCAGCAGAACTTGAGATATCTTATCACTCCTCGTTTTGACTAACTGAGATCTGGCTCTTCTTCTAAGCTTGACAGTAAACTATCAACCAACAAGGTAACCAAACTCAATTATAAATGTAACAATACCAGTGTTAACATAAGAATAAATATTGTACAACCTTAAAAACATAAGAAAAGGCATAATAAAAACATAGGTTCCTTTAATTGTCGATGTTGAAACTCTTGTTAGGGCATTTTGTCCGCCATTTTGAAAATTGCCATTTTACCATCCTTAATGGCTGTTGTGAGAAAAAAAAATAGTTGCACATGTGTGTTTAGCATCATTTTATGCCATATAAAACATTCACTTATCAAAATTTGTGCTTCACTCAACACTTTTCAATACAATTATATGCATACATATAATTACTACAGTTACTGTATATGCAGTGCATATGCTTTATATGCGTTTTCAAAAATAGTAAAATTACCGACCTAAAGAATGCTCCTAGCTCAAATTTCTCATCAGAAATGAACTTTTTGGCCTATTTTGCCTCTAAAATCACCTGTTCCCTGAGAGATTTCCAAAAAAAGTTATTATTTACTCTACCCTAGTAAAACTGTATGGCCTATGGACATTATCTCGTCTCGGTCATATACATCGATTCTCTGTATTGTAATAGTTGTAATGGTACCTGTAAGTTCACATTGATATAGTTGTGAAACATTTACTCTTGAATGAATTTTAAATGTAATTAAAACTTGAATGAACCAATTAACTATTTTTTCTCATTGATCATCAACAACAAAAAATAATAATTGAATGGTCTTATCTACCAGTTGCAGGAACTGGTGTGAAAAAGTATAAAATCATCAATTCCAAGTACAGTGTGTGTTTATGCTGGATCACATTACCCAACAAACACTTATCTGGGAATGAAAAAGAACTGAAAGAAAATTTATATATTACCAACAAAACTGGGCAAATGCACTGGACAACTGACAATTTGATTTAAAAATGCACTGAAAATTTTCCAAACCATATTGTCTACATCTCCTTCATGTCTACATATATCATTCCCAATTCAGACCTTAAAATCCGTCACACCCCTCGAAACAAGTGTCTGCCGTCGATAGCTCTTTTTGAAATGTAAGGGCACTTCCAAATGAAACTATCACTAAAAGTAGATCGATTGAACTCATCGGGAATTCTTGCTAAATGCAATCAGATAAGCAATTTAAGACACCTCCTCCTGGCGTTCAGTAAAATAACGAAAAGCTGGTTATTAATACAAATACATTGATGGCAGGTGTGTGCATGGCGCTTTTCCACCGAAGAAAGGATATAGCACAAGTAACGCAAACATTCAGTAAATCTTTCGTCCTTGCTATAAGGATATGCGCATTAGACCAGTGTATAGCAACACATTTTCTTTAATCATGAGAGGTGGAACTTATACAACACTTTTCACAGAAGAGCAATACGTAATCCTCTTTTAAGAACCGAGTGTCTAGGGTTGAGTCATTCTCGTAATAGATAAACGTGGATTTCATTAGCGAGCGTGCATATCGAAAATTAGAATAAGTAAAAAGGTTAGCATAGAGTAAGCCTTATTGGTAAAGGGAAAATGTTTAAAATGTTTAAAAAGTTTTAAGTGTACAATTTGCTTCTGCACGGCTGAGATTGATATCAACTGTGGTAGGTGAGATTGATATCAATTGTGCTGCATTTTCACATCTATACCATCTTCACTATAGATGCATAATCTGTGCGGGTTTAAACATAAAAATTTGCCAATAAACGAGGTGTCTGAGCCCTTAAAATATGTCTTCTACATAGGTGCAATAACATTTATATAGTTTCTCCCAAAGGATATGCAATAACTTCGTCACACCACAGTTATGGAAAAAACTGAGGAATTAAAGTTGACATCAGACGATGCCGGGAAGACTTCAAATAGGGCAGGCTCATTTCAAATCTGAACGCGCCTTTCACCATCTCTCATTCAAACCGTGACGGTCAGGAATGAAAATGTAACTGCTGATTACTAATAAAAAATACATTTTTATAGAACTGGAATGGAATACTAGCATGCTAGCACGCTAGCACAGCCGTATACATCAGAAGCGCCAGTAGGAGTGCTAACGCATGAATTTTATAATAAATCGCAGACGACACATTTTCAATTTCAATTTCATTTTCAATTCTATTTATCAACAAGGCAGCAAAGCTGTCAAATGTACAGACAAAAAAAAATGGTTTCCTTTTATCTCCAAAACTGGCAGAGATAGGTCCATAGTCACTATTGAACTTGAATATGAAGTCATATACTGGCAATCTAATAATAATAATAATATTTATTTATAGTCTAAAATCCAACATGTGTTCAGTAGACTTTACAAAAATTATAAAATTCAAATTAAAAGAAAAATATTGCTAATGGTTATAAGATGAAGAAAAGGAAAATGATTATAGAAAAATATTAGGATATATAAAATGGATAAAAAGGGGAAATTTAAAGCTATGACTAAGAACAGTTTTTCTTAAGAAGTGTTTTTTCAAGAATTTAAAGATAATATTGTTTAAAAAGGTGGGTTTTTGTCTAAGACTGATGGGTAAAATATTTCATTCTTTTGGTGCTGCAAATTTAAAAGCTTTATCACCGTATGATACTAATCTTGCCTCATAAGCCTTAAGAAGAAGGTGATCACCTGATCTGAGATTTCTTGATGACACGTAGTGTAAAACAAGCTCATTTAAATAAGAAGGTGCAAGTTTATAAAATGCTGCATGTGCAAATGTTAAAAGTTTGAATAAAATGCGTGCTCGGACAGGGAGCCAGTGCAACATCATTAAAACAGGAGTAATGTGGTTGTCTTTTGGAGTGCGGGTCAGTAGGCAAGCAGATATATTCTGTACACGCTGTAGCCGTTTGATTTGTTCCTCTGAAGATCCATAAAGAAGGGAGTTGCAGAAATCAAATCTTGATGTAACCAGGGCATGTATAACTGTTGCTGTAGTAGAGTCGGTTAAATGTTTTCGTAAGGAACCAATGTTTCTAATATTGAACATACATGTTTTAGATACGTTAGAAATTTGCCTGTTCATGGACAATGTACTGTCAAAATAATGAGACTTGTACCACGCTGGCACCTATTGACATGCTAAGACTGCCGGCAATGTTCTTATTGTGTGGTTGAGATATTACTAGGAATTCAGTTTTCTCGTCGTTGATCTTGAGTTTGTTTCTGATCATCCACCCCCTTAAATCAGAAATACAGTTGGCTACAG